TGTCTAGATGTCCCCCTAAGCCTCACAGCCACAGGATTTTTTTCAGAGGTGGCTCAATCTAGAGTAGTTGATTCACAGGATAGTGCTGGGGTTAAGGGTGCCAGGATTAAGAGTGTGTGATTAGTAAATCAGTCCACCAATTGGTTTGACATACTTCTGGCTTAGTTCAGGGGTTGTGAGTGCTACTATAAGAGACAGAAGGAGGGAGCCTTCTCTCTTGCTAGTTGCCTTGCTACATTTCACCTGCCATGAACTGTTTTCCTCTGCCATGCCAGCCTGCCCTAGAGCCGACCAATTATGGTCTAAAGCTCTACAAAGTGGGAGCTAATAAGCCTTTCCCTTTTAACTTTGGGTGCTAGGTAGTTTGTCTCAGCAACAAGAGAAAAGTAACTAAAACACCCATTTAAATTTGTGTGTCATGTATTTTGTCTCAGGAATGACAAAAGAAAAAAAAAAGACACATGGTATAAGCATTAGACTCTTCACTATAAATCTTCAAGTTACATTATAAAATAAGCAATATATTACAAAAGTAGTCCAAATTTAGGGCTGGCGAGATAGCTCAGCAGACTAAGCACCTGCTTTGGCAAGCGCATGGACCAGGGTTCAATCCCCAGTCCTGCATGCCACACCAGGCCCACCCCTGAGGCGTGCTGAGCTGGTGACAGTCAGTCTGGAATTATAGCACATGCTGTAATTCCAGCGCTGGGGATGCTGAAAACAGAGGAGGATCACTATGAGTCTAAGCCACATAGTGAAACCCTGTACCAAATACATACAATGGAAAACAAAAAAAAGTAGTCCAAATTTGCCACCTTTCCCATCCTGTGCCTTATCAATGTGACTTGCAGCCCCTCCTATGACTGCAATTAAGTTAGACAGAAATTAATATATAGTCAGAGATGTACTAGGCTCTCAAAGAAGTTAGCCCAAAAAATTAAGACATCAAAATTATGGGTGGAGGCACATCTGAAAAGTTTGGACAGAATGACCAAGCATACATGCCTCCCCAAGGGATAAGCAATAAATTAAAAATGATACTATAATTGGTATCTCTAGGGCCAGCGAAGTCCACATAGTGCATCTGGACCCATTCCCTCCCCAAACTGCTTTTGCTCTTTCCAGGTACCCTTGCTACATGACCTGCTCTTACTACATCAATATTACCTTCCTCTTATTGGTTGATGATAGTTTGACCCACATTGTACTCACCTCATGATTTTGCTTAATAAATTATTAGAGAAACGATCTTGGTGGAAACCCACTTTCCAGGCCCCTCTTGTTTCTTAGGAGCTATCTCTCAAGAAACCTTTCCTACTCATAACCTCCCTTGTCCCTTAAAATTCACTGTTTGATTTTGTGGTATGAAAACGCAGGCTATCTGACATCCAGAGGGTTGGGAGTTCTATTTTTTCTATATCACTTCCATGATGGGTAGAGTTTTCTCCAGACCACCTCAGAGCCCTGGGAGTGACCTCCCCCACACATACACATACAGAAGAAGAAAGAGGTCTCCTCCAGTGACATGTCTCCTAACAAAATCAAAGGTAGGTTAAGTGTTACTGGCTGGGAGAGTATCTGAGAACAGTGGATGTGGAGAAAGGTCCCCACAGGGGAAAAGAGCACTTACAGGGCTGGGGATGGAGTCTGGATCCAGCTTCTTTGGGGGCGGGGGAGGCCCAGCCATCTGAGCAGCACCTCCAGGGAAGCCTCCAGGGTAGGAGAGCTGAGCGCCTGCCATCTGTGGGCCGTAGTGGGCTGCTTGGAAAGCAAAGTTTAAAAAGAAACAATAATCCCAAATCCCAGATGTAAGACTCACTGACAATACTTGTTGTCCAACCAAACATGTATTTTTCATCATATTAAATAGGGCATGGGATTAAGCATGAATAGCTATAGTTCCCTTTATTTTTTGCCTCGCCACGCTACTCAAAAAGTATCACTGTTTCAAGGCAAATGATACCAGAATGAAGTTCATTTCCAGTCCAGGGCTCCCTGGGGAAACCCACCCCCCTCCCGGCCACTTACCCTGCTGCTGTGGAGGATACCCAGCACTGGGTGCAGGGCCTGGAGGTGGCGGAGGCTGGTACTGGGCACTCAGAGGTGGCGGCCCAGGGAGCCCATCCTGCCTGGGCACTGGTGGAGACAGCGGTGAGGCCCCGGGGCCATTCAGTGTGGTCGGGGGCGGTGGGAGAACCTGGGACCCAGGCTGTAAGATGGACGGCTGTGGAGGTCGTGGAGGAGCCTGGAAGGACGCTGCTGGTGGAGGGCCTGGGGGCCCCTGGCTGGGGGCAGCCATGCCTGAGCCTGTGCAAGAAAGAAGACCAGCCCATGTCAGTACCACGCATAGCTCGCTGACTTCTCGGGCATACACAACCAGCAAGCTTGCTTTCCAGTCTACTTTTTTTATCACACAAATTAAAATGTTCCCTTAGGAAGTAAAACAAATGCTACTTGGGGCAACTGGAAAATTTTAAAATTTTGGCTCAAAACAACATTCCTAATTTTAGCGACAGAATAAATTTTAATTCAGTTGCACTAACTTTACATGACACACTAATTAGAGCATCTATATCTGGTATAAGATTTTAACAATAATATGGTAGGAAAATGTATTATACACAAACATTATTCAGGTAACTTACAGATTCAGGAAGTTGTTTGCTTTCTGTGCTTAACTTGATCAAATAACTCACTGAAGTAAAAATAATCAGAGATAAAGGCTGGACTATCATCGTGCTTTCCAATCATGCTTCCTGCTTTAATTCTGCAAACTGAGTCATTTATCTAGACTGATCGTTTGCCTGAGAGCATTGCTGGGAAGGGATCAAGGCCCACGGGAATGCTAGGCACAAGTTCCGAGCCTGACCTCTACCCACAGCCCCAGTGAGCCACAGCCACACTTACTTTCAAAAGACAGGAAATATTCTGAGAGGATTTCACTGATACTCCTAAAAATCTAAGTTTAACTAACATGGTAATATCATTCATCAGGATAAATGCCTATGTCGTGGCGGCAGTGAGATTCCAATGGCTCAGGGAATAGAGCATTTCAGCTGATGTAATCTCAGCAGTCAGTGTCTTCTCTTTTCTGCTTATGCCATCTGACCTTCATTCGTCTCATGATCAGAACACAGAACTAAATGCACTGAGAAATAGTGATTTTAAAGCTACTTAAAATATTTTCACGTTCTAATGTTTGTAAAGTCAGTAATTTTGTTTTTTATTACTCTAGCACTGAATGTAAGGTACGCACTCTGAGGGTCCTTTCTTCAATCACCTCAAAACAAGCAACAGCATGATCAAGGAAAAAATAATTATAGCAGACATATAATACCAAACACTTATATAAAGATGTCTAAAATACTACATCAATATGGCACGCTGCTGTTATGTCTACTATTTTAAAAATGAAGGAACTACTTCTGATCAAAAATAATCATAGCTGCACACAATGGCCCACTCTTGCAGTCTCAGCACTCTGGAAGGCTGGGACAGGGAGACTGAAGATGGGGCCCAGCCTGGCCAGTTTATGTCTTAGTAAGACCTTGTAAGTGAAAGAATGAATGAATGAGTAAGTAAATGGTAGCTCCATCCAAAGGAGCCTGAGTAGAAAGCAGAGGGGTCCACAAGGCAGTTAACAGGCACTGATGAAAAACTATTACCATAGCTGTTGATCTGCAGCTGACTGAGCTGACTGCCCAGGTGGGTGACAGCGGAAGTGGACACAGGACCTGGATAAGAGGATGGCGTAGAGGGCTGGTACTGAGCATAAGAGGGTGCCACACTGTTGGCAGGTGGAGGGCCTGAAAATCTGAGAGAAGAAAGCGTGTTAAACAATATCACAGAGTTTCTGAGATAACATAGTATAAATGTCAGTAACTTAAAAAATTATTAGAAACCATTTCTATGGACAGTAGGAAAATGACTAATACTGTATGCCAAACTTGACATGAGATCAGAATGAATCATTCTGTATCATCTCATATCTATGTGCACATGTTTAATATAAAAAGATAGAAAAAAGAAAATTATTAATGTGAACAAAGAACCAGATTTGGAAATCAGTGTAGAAGCTGAGCCCACCACAGCTTTATGTTTCCTAAAGTTAATCACTAGTAGAAGAGAAATCAAGAAAACTAAATGCTCTCAGGTGGCATCTTGTGATCTTTCTGCTTATATCTTGTCTTATTTTTAAAGTACCATTTGGAAAACTGTAATTTTTATTTAAAATTTTGAATGAGCAAGAAAGGGGATAGGAGATAGCTGGGTGGTCTAAGTGCCTGCCTGGCAAGCACAAGGACCTAGGTTTGATTCCCGGTACCGCATGCTGTGGCAGCCCAGGCACTCCAGGGACAGAGTCCTGGCCACCAAAATCAGGTATGGTTTTAAAGTATCATTTACACTATAACCTGAAGTCAACTAGGATTTTTCCTGAAAAATGACACTTGGAAGTGAACAATTCAGTAAGATGCTTTAGAGTTGCAAATTTTTTTAATCTAAAATATTCAACAGGGGCCAGGGAGATGGCCCAGGAGGATAAGTACTTGACTGGCAAACGCAAGGATCTGAGTTCAATCCCCGGTTCTGCCAAAAAATAAATAAATAAAATAAAATATTCAACATTTTTTACATTTTAGTTTGAACTTGTGCATTTATTTTTTGTTTTTGATCTAACAATGACTACTGATTGGGCAATACTACTATTATGGTTAAGCAGCTTTAGAATCACATTATGAATTTTTCTTGTTATTTTATTTTTATTTTAAGAATTTCTCTTATTTACTTATTTATTTACCTTTTATTTATTTATTTGGTACAGTGTCTCCCTACGCAGCTTGGACTTGTAATGATGCTCCTGTCTCATCCTCCTCAACACTGGGATTACAGTACAGACGTGTGCAACCATGCCCGATTTTGGTGGCCAGGACCATGTGCCTGGGGTTCCTGGGCTGGCACAGTATGTGGTACCAGTGATCGAACCCAGGTTCTTGCACTTGCCAGGCAGGCACTTAGACTACCCAGCTATTTCCCCAGCCTCTTTCATGCTCATTTAAAATTTTAAATAAAAACTATAATTTTCCAGATGATATACCCTGAATTTATTTCTCTCTCTCTACAGCTAACTTTTTCGCTAGCAGCCTATGTCTTGACTTCCATTCCCCACTGCCACCTAAACCTTAGCAGCAGAGGTCAGTGGCTTGCCTGCTGTCCCACAAGAAAGTGAACTTGATTTTAAAAAACATCCCAGAAGGAGTTTTCTTATTAGCAGGCCTCACTTGGCAGATCCAGCTTCATAGTAGTGTCATGCCCCACCCTGTCCTTCTCCCCACTCCAGTCTAACAACCCATGGAGGAAGCCGGGGAAAGAGGTCTCCAGGCATCCCTGGAGAAATTCCAAGGTAAATGTTGCCTCCAGCCTGACTCTGGTGGCAGCAAAGCTCACCAGACCAACAATGATGGGATTTCCAGCAGGGAAGGTGTGACGCTGGCTCCCAGCCCAGGTGACAGTCCCTTGGGGTTTGCAAGCTCTAAGTAATTCAGGCATCAAATATCTTGACTTTTCCAGGGCTGCATCTACCTTATTTTCTCAACTTATTAGAAACAAGAACATGAGATTTATTTCCTGCACTGCTTTTACTACTGCCCTGCCAACTGAGAGCTCCTCACGAGCATCTGTGTGCCTGCTGCACTAAGGCCATGAGTTTCCCTTTGACCTCAGTCTGTATTTTATAATATTTATTAAGCACTTTTTGGCACTGAGCTTGCTTCTGTGAAGGGCCTAAAAGGACAATGATTTAAAGTTTTATGGGCAATAATCCTCATAGATCATAGGTGGTTGACGAATCAGTGATTCATATAAAATTTAAGTGAATATAACTCAAAACTGAAAAGTGTAGTATTACCTTTTTTAAATTTATTTGGTGGGTACAGGGTCTCACTACGCAGCTCAGACTCATAGTGATCCTCCTGTTTCCAGCCTCCTTAGCGCTGCAATTACAGGTGTGCGACACTACACTGGGACTCAATGGCCTGCTCAGCACGCCCTGGGGATGGGGCTGGCATGGCATGTAGTGCCAGGGATCAAACTGTAGTCCCTGTGCTTGCCTAAGCTTGGCTAAGCAGGCACTTCAGACCACTGAACTATCTTGCCAGCCCTGAATAGTACTGACAAGAGTAATTTGTGATATATTTAAACTATGTAATAATCCCTCTTTCCCTAAATTTTCTACGTGTTCTGTTTCCTAGGAGTTCTCCAGTATATCTCTTCAGAGATGTGGATATTTTGAAGAGGTTAAACTTTCAGACACTAAACATACAAGTGTAGGAGACACTTTTGAAGAATTTTAATAAAGTATTTAAATGAGAGTTGGAATCTACTTAACTCACCTTTGGGGAGAATGACCTGAGGCATGAGCTCCATTCTGGCCTAACTGATGGGGTCCAGGAGGTGGGCCAGGAGACACCATCAGCCCAGGGGCAGCAGCCCCCAGGCTCCCGACTGGCTTCATCATACCTACAGCAGAAGTGACTGGATTAAGGGCATGGAAAAGAAAATCAAAGCAAGGTAGATTAACAATGAAAAGGGGGAGAAGAAAGAGAGAAACAAAGGGTTAGGACAGGATGTCCTTCCAACTTGCTTCAACCATTCCTACAGACTGTCAATGCCAGGCTCTGGCATAGATATTTGTCGAAGTGAAAAAAGAGTGTGTAATAAAGAAATAATTTTGCACACCAAACAGAAACTTAAAAAAGGATATAACATTTGCATATGGTACAGGCATGTTGACAGAATATACTATCACACAAATAATATTAGATTACTGTCTTACTTTTATTATTGTCAAGACAAAATACCCAACACCCAAAAGAGGAAAGCTCTATTGTGGTCCACAGTCTGTAGAGGTTTCAGTTCACAGTTGGCTAACTCCAAGGCAGGATGGCATAGCAGAAGGGCATGTCAGAAAAAGTTCATGGCAAAGCAGGGCAGGCAGAAGGTAGCAAGCAACAAGCAACAAGCAGTGATAAGTGACAATAGTCCTCTTTCTGTCTCTCCTATTTTATCCAGGCTACCCACCTTAGGGCAGGCAGCACTTACACCCTTAATCCTAGCATCACACTACAAATCAGTCCCAACTTAGATGGAAATTGACACTGGGCATGTTGGCCTGCACCTGTAATCCCAACACTTCAGAGGCTGAAAACAGGTGGAATACTATGAGTCCGATCTAGTACTGAGACCCTGAACCCCTGTAGGCCCTCCCCTAAAATATAAATAAATAAATAAATAAATAAATAAGAAAGGAAAAAAGCCTTTTGAGTTGCAGTATGAGGAAAGCCAACGGAGAGTGGAGTCTGTTTCTCCATCAAATCCTAAGCATACATTTCAAAGCTTAATATCTTCCCAGAATCCTAAACAACTGGTAACTGCTTGACTTATCAATTCGCAAAAAGTATGGGGTCCTGTGCAACTGAGTGATGCCCATGGCAGTGACTGTGTCTTCACTCAAAAGCAGCTCTTCTCAGAGACCCTTAAAGGTTTCTCTTCGGAGCTGTTTTCTTCTGAAGAAATTGTGGCAAAAGGGTAAAAATCACTGACTTGGGCTGGACTCAAAGTCATCTTCCATTTACTCTAGTCGTATGGTCCCAAGAAACTTAGCTTCGAGCACCTGTTTCTTCTCTGCAAATAAAAGTGAGCACACTTGTAGGTTCTTAAAAGAAGAAAAGGAGAGGAAATACTACTCTTTTATTTGTGCCATCCATTTCCATTCTGCTTTTATTTCTATCTCATCCAATTCACTTGCTTGTGGTATTGAAGATTGAACCCAGTGAGTTGACACTGAGTTACAACCTAGCCTTCTTATTTACTCATGTTTATTCTAAGTCAGTCTCCCCAAGTCACTGAGTTGTCCAGCCTGGGTTGAAGTTTGCAGTTCCCTTGCCTCAGCCTCCCAGAGTGCTGGACTTCCAGGCCTGGGCCACCCCCACCCCCGTAGCTCTAGTCTGTTCACTCGTGGCCCTGGCCTCCGACTGGCATAGCCATCAGTCACCTAGCTTCCTGTGCACACCCTTTCGTCTGACACGCGGGGGGTCATATTAATATCTCCTGCTTTACAGTCTTCCTCCAGGAAGCTCCCTCCATCAGATAGAAAGGAAACGCCCAGATGACAGCCACCTAGACCAGCTTTCTCACACTGTCATCACTCTACTTTGAAGAATGTACTCACATACTTGGGTACCTGGAATGACATGTGACCACTGAAATGGCAGTCTTTATGAACAGTATTGACACTCTTAAAATAGGATTTCTTAAGCTGGAGAGTATTAACTCAATAGTTATAGTTCTATTTAGCAATCTTTCAAAGTCACAAACAAAAGCCAGTATTTTCAAATTTAAAATTTACTGCTATATAAAAACAAAATTGTGTATTTTAATGGGTGGTACCCTATGGTATTTCAATACACACACACACACACACACGTATATATACATATATATACATATATGTATACATATGTATATGTATATATATGTATATATATAATGTTTAAATCAGGTTAACTATGTCTATCTCTTCAATCATCTTTTTATAGTAAAAACTTTCAAAATCCTTTCTCCCAGCTCTTGAGAGCCGACAGTGCATACCTGTTACCTACCCTGGCCCCGCTGTATAACAGCACACCAGAGCTCAGCACCCACCCACCCCCGCTGTTCCTTAGTACCTGATTCTGCCTTTCCTCATTTCACCTTCTGCCTGCTCCCCCTGGCCACTGGTATCCACGATCCTGCTCTCAACTTCCAGGATGTCAACTATGTCTCAGATGCTGCATGTGAGTGTGAGCAGGCAGAACCTGCCTTTCTGTGAAAAAAAGTTCTCTAAATTTTGATGATGTTCTAAAGGCTCAAACACAGCAAAATCAGAAAAGCATGAGCCTTGAGCCTGGTAGTCACACAAGGCACGACTCTGTCCCTGCCACTTATAGCAGGGACTCTGACAACATATGTTATCTTCCAGAACACTGACTTGCAACACTTTCTCAGGCAGTAACATCCTCTATGTCCAAAGGCTGCTCAGAGAAGTAAATAAGGTGAGGCCAATCTGAGCACTGGGAAAAACTGCTTCCTCGCCCTGACCATACTCCTTATGTTGCCTTTCAAGGATCTCGGTTCTACCAAAGCATATATACCATCACTACATGCATTCTATACTGTGTTTTTACTTTTAAAAGTTTATTTTGGGCAAAAGTAGGGAAACCACAAGTTAACACTAAATATTTTCAACTTAAATGATTACATGCAGTATAAAAAAAAAAAAAAAAGATATTTTTGCTTTTTAAATAAGTTAGGTTGGTAGCCTTTCACCCAGTCCTACAAACAGCTCTGATACACCCAAATCTAAAGCAATGATTCAACTCATTCAACATATGATTAACATGAAATCATTATGTCGACACACACGTGGTAGTAATAAATAAATTTCTTGCCTTCAAAATGCTGAGGGCTCTTATGGAAGAGACAACCACATAAACAGTGCCAGGGACGTGTGATGAGTGTTATACACACAGAAGACACTTTGCCTCTTCCTGGGGACTCAAGCATCAAAGAAGAAGGAATGCCTGAGCTGAAAGTGTCCACAGTATAGAATACAGGAAACGGGATTTCAGTTAGAAGGCAAAGCTTATGAAAGGTATGATCAGAAATAGCAAAAGCCTCCACATGAAGAGCTTGTAGGGGACAGTGGTGGAGTGGAGGCTGTCCAGGCTGGCTGGGGTCAGACTTCAAAGTCCTGGGTTCCATGTGGTCTCTATCCAGGGAAAAGGGAAGGCAGTATCATCATTATCTGCAAACTCACAGCCTTCCTCTAGCTTCATTACTGGCATTTTCAAAAGTGATCAGACACAAGGAGAATCAGGTTCTTTATATATCGGTGAATTTTAACACAGAAAGAACACTTCATGGTGGGAATGAGATATGTTAATGCGAAAAGAAGAAAAGGAAAAGTTCTAAAATTACAAAAGTCACCTTTAAAAGAGGAGCAAATAATATAGGCTAATTTACTTAACATCAATTCAGTTCCTTTCTGGCTTATTTTCTACATGGTCCAGAGCTGGAAAAATAGAAACTACTTCCTAGTCTCTCATACAATGTGGGTTGCCCTGTGCTCCAAATTCAGCAAAGCAGCACAACTCTGGGAGACCTGGGCTACCCTGGTGGCAGAGACGGCTCCCCTGGGCTTGGCAGACAGTGACTTACAGTGGAACATCTTACAAGGGGTTGTGCAACTCTATGAACTGCAGTCTTAAGTCTGTATCTCTTTTTCTGTTTGCTTCTTGTTACCCTTTAACAAATCTGTTTCTACAAGGGATTCTGCCATCAGCAAAGGAATTCTGACCAAAGCAACATCAAAGGAATTTGACTCTGTATCTAAACAACTAAAACCAATATCAAAAGAATTTGTGAGGGTTAAATCATTAAGGCCACGGGCTGCTCCTGAAGCACTGTGCTGAGCGATGTACCTCCATAAGTTCACGACTTAGCTAGGATCCTCAACACTACCCCAGAACCTGCCCTGATTCCAGGACATGAACACTTCCGGGATGATTCGGCACCTGAAAGGGTATTTGGCAATTTAGAGTTGCCATACCTGCTGGAGGGGAAGGAAGGTACCACTCTCATCCAGTGGGGAGGGCCAAGGCTGGTGCTAATAACTCCCTAATGCATATGACAGCCCCTTCTCTGCGCGTGTGTGCACGTGCATGAGCTAACACACACACACACACACACACACACACACACACACACACACAGAACTAGCTAAGCCCCAAGATAGCCACAGTACTGACACTGAGGACCTCCGCCCCTTCAAGAACTATGCTCCCTCCAAATTCCTTCTCTACACTTTCTAATACACATGGGGCTCTTCCTGAAATGCACATTGGACTGTGACCCTTCCTAGCTTGACTCACTCACTAGCACTCTGCTGCCCTTAACAGAAAGTCTAAATTCCTTGACATAATCCACTTTCTACTCCAGGTGCTCTGGTCACTTAAACTAATTCATAAAGGATCTAATTTGACAAAGACAGCTTCTAAATATACCTACATGGGAAAATAAGAGAGTGGTTTTTTGATGAATGTTGGAGCCTGCCATTCATATCACCAAACAAATATTCATTATTCCCGACATTTAGCCATTCCATAATGTACACACACGTCAAAGATAACATGCGATATATAAGGAAGGAGAGATAGGAAAGACAGAGTGACAGAGACAGAAAACTAAAAAATGCATACACACTTGAACAGTTCACTGTACTAATAAATGTCTGGAAGCTAATGGCCACCACTCTGAGTTCCTCTTGTAATTCTAGAGGCCAAAGGCAACTTGCATTAATCTCAGGATGGTTTCATAAATTTAGTATAAAATATTGATACAAATTTTTCTTTTCCTGATGTATACATTTTTTGGTGCCCTAGGTAAGAGACAGATAATTTGTCCATTAAAAATTAAATATGTGAGTTCTCAGAACTGTTTTAAAACACTTCCCAATAAATCGGTGAGCGCCTTCTCTGCCTCAGGACATGTATCTGTATCATCATACTACGTGGTAATGTATAGGAAGGCCTGCACCATGTCAGAACACAAAGAACGGGCCAGATGCCCAGAAGAGTCTTAAGGAGATGCGTGAAGATAAATCTGGTTACAGACAATCACACTTGAAAATACAGATCGGCTTTCTGGGGAAGCAGGGTGCCAATCAGGCAGCAAACAAAAGCCAGTCTCCAAACAGTTAACAGTAGCATAGTAACATGGAATAAAGGGCGCTGACATGGGATGAATGAACTGAAAAAGTAAAATAATAAGACCAAAGGAGCTTAAAAAATAAAGAAGGGACCTAGTAAGTCATAAAAGTTTTTTTTTTTTTTTTTTTAAATCCAAACTAGATTTAGAAGCTATTAGAAAAAAAAGAAATCCCTCTGGCTCAAAAGTTGTTGGCTTGGTGGGAGGCAAGGGGGTAATGATTGAACCCACCTTAGAAACCCAGGTGACAGATGGCTAGATTGATCTGAGAGTGACAGGAGGCTGAACAGGAGGAAGCAGGTAGGAAAGATATTTGCAACTGCTCTGAAAAGATTTAGGAATCCAAATGGATTAGTATGTATAAAAAGAAGAGCTTTTTAATAGTGAAATTTTGGGGCTGGAGAGATGGCTCAGTGGTCTAAAGCACCTACTTAGAACAAGCTTAGCAAAGCATCAGGGACCGCGGTTCAATCCCCCAGCACCACATG